TCGCTTCCCTCAGGTTGAAAAACTTGGAGCCTAGCAGCAGTAGCGCAGTTCATAAGGACACGGTACAACGCATTCAATCTCAATCGGCTCATCATCAGCAGCCAAATAAAAGAGTATCTCAGTCTTACCATACTGTAGCTACAGTAATAAGAGCTATCAAACTTTTTGAAATACTTTGAAACGTGTAAACAAGCAGTACGTTACGCCATCGTGACACCATACTTACGGCTAGGAAATTTTGTATAGGGCAGCTTGGTTTACAGTAATCTTCAGCAATAAATGGTACATTTGAGAAAATGTAACGTCGTCTACAAACGGTGCCCGAAAATTGAACATGCTGAAGAAATGTCACACGATTTTGTGCCAGACGCCCAGACTGGCAAGGGGCATACAAATGAAACGAAGTGCGTAATCAGTTTTTCAACTCCTGTCATCTGCATTCTATCGCATGAATTCCAAGCTGACTAGGTAATTTTAGATTCCGCAAAAAACTCTAAAGGGTCCGGGCATAGTTCAACAGCCTCTACGTTCTGATTGAATGAGCGCTTTTCAATATGTCTAGGGATCACAGAACTCTACGTAGGATAAAGAGTGGGAATGTCAGCATTATTACATCCTATCCTGACCCCCCTCCCTAGATTTGAAGGGTTTTTAACTGAGCGAATCTGCCATAAACAGGGTTGCCAAATCGGGCATTGTGGGAAAAGCAGGAAGGTTTTTAAGACTGCCTGTTTGGAGGCTACACTTAGAGAGCCGGGTATATCGACCCTCAGGTATTAACCTGAATCGGTTTTCAATGTAACCGGCGTCTCGGTGCAGGAGGAAAACGGCGTGGGAGTAATCGGTGGTTAGTTTCCTCAAATAAAATTCGAATTATCGTAGCCATTATGTCTCGTCCACGATAAAGATGTCTCGTCAGCATTCAAATTAGTCCTTCTGACAATCGGATGGGCTCCCCGACGTAATTCTGGCTAGTGAAGCCACGATTCCACCGATGTCTCCTGATGGCCTCAGATCCCGTTTCGGCAAAGAAAGTGCAAGAAGTCAAAACAGGAAGAGCACTAAGTGATGCTCAAAAAAAAGGACACAGTAGGAATTCTGTTTACACTGGAAAGCTTCTATGGCCATAGTGTACATAAACTGTAAATGAACTGATGTAAACATGTTCTAATGTTCAAAGTGCTGAATAAACAAAAGGGAACGTCAAGGTTTAGCTAATACATACTAAGCGTAGGAAGGTACATATTAGGGGAGCCACAATTAGATGGCTGAGTAGGTACTTTTTGAGAAAAAAAGAATTTTTTTGGTTTTCTACATATTTTCATCTTATTCCATGTCACATCTGGTCTGCTTAATTGCATCCTAGAAAAGAGAACAGGACAGATGCCAATTTTGAAGAAGTTTCAAATTGAATTGTCATAGTCTGACCTGCTGGCTGCGTGCGCTGATAGCCAGTCCTAATAAAACTGCAATCGGCAGTAAATAAATAAATAAA